CCGTCCTCATATCCAGCCCCAGAGCTTCCTCGGAGCTTCCGTTTTGCTGGTTTCCATCGATCACTGTGGCGCTCCCTCGGCTTTCGCCCGAACCGCCGGACATCGGACACGGTGGACACGCGGGAGTCTGTTTGTCCAAAAAGGTGACTTCAGATGACTGAAGAGTGAGTGACTTCCTCTATTCTGAATTCTGTCCTTGATGTCGTATATATTTCTGGGATATCCGGATGGTTTCACTATGCTCTACACGAAGACAAGTGAATCACTCGAATCTTCAGATTGGGGAAATACACTCCCTGAAACAATCCATGGAAGCAGACGGATCCCTGGAAAGACCATGAAATCCTCGCAAACCTGAGGGGTGCAATCCACTTCCACCATGCTTGGAGGGTCTCGGATCTCGTCTCGAGGTAAGCGAGACCCTCTCAATCCACTTCCGCCTCACCTCCAAAGGCGCTCCGAAGTCGCAGAGCCACATTTGCCCTGCAAACCTCGGTGCACAGCGCAGCGCAGCAGCGCCGCGTCGAGCGGGCGAAGCAGCGCAGGGGATGCGTTCTGCAGGGCGCGTCCGACACAAGTTTGGGTGATGTTCTCCTGACCTCCAGAACCATGTGACATCATGTGACGTGAACCCGACCTCTTCTAGAAATCGGCATTTACAATTCCAAGCTCCGCCACACTTCCCACAGTCCTGGCCGACCTCGTGCAGGAGAAACCACTAGGACACCACCGGTCTCACCCCTGTCTGCGGACCAGGTAGCAAATCTAAGACATTCTGCTCTCGATCGATCTCCCCCAGCAGGATCGACCTGGTCGAAAGAAGCGCCGTGGCGGAACGGGGCTTGGGGAAGCGCGGAATCGCGGAGGTGTTCGAACAAACCATAAACCAGGACCCTGTCAGTGACCTCTTCAGGATTGGTAAGTGACCTTTTCAAGGCCGTTTCGTGACCTCATTCTGACATCTCAAAAGGTCGCTGGGAAGGTCCTGGAACATGTCTTTTTGGATGTGTTTGTTCATCCTATTGCCGCAGAGTCTCACGACTTTTGGAACAATCCTGCTCGTGTGTTTGTGCACCTGGTTTCAACAAACAAACAACGAGAAACATCGAGAGATATCACATGAGAGAGACCCATGAGAGAGAGCCATGCATGGAACGTGAATGAACATGATGTGATTCTATCTTCATCCCAAACACCAGTTTGGGTTCATCGCTTCCCTATGAAACCGAAACCCTGGCCTTAAAAAGATGCCTTTTGGCCTGCCGGTCGGTCTACATACCTTCCCCCCCCTAAAAGTCCAGTCCTCACCGAGCCGAGTGGCTGAAGAAAGAAGTTCACACAGAACAACAGGTAGACCTCGGAAGCCCGGCACAGCCCGGAGCAGCGTCGCATCGAGCGAAACCGGCGCGGAACCGCCCGGGTTCAGCGCGGCGGAGCGAGCGAAGGAGGTGCGGTGAAGTGTTCGATCCGAGCTGTCCGGAAGTCCATGAATCTCCGATGTCTGCGGAATACCCGCCGATACGCTGGAAAGAGGATGTCCGCCCTGAAAGACCGTGAACTCCCAAGACCAAAACAGTGGGTCTTCAAACTGCACGTTGGACCATGGGCAGTTGGAGGGAGGGTAACTCAGAAACATGGGGAGCAAAAAGTCTGCATGTTCCAGCCATGTCACGGCGAATGGCAGGGGTCAGCCTATAGCCACATAGCTGGGTAGCATGCAAACGGCGTCTATGTGGTGATGTCCCTGGTGGCACGAAGACATCCTGCTCATACGTGGCACGAAACAAATCTCCAGACTGATCCATGTATCTCTAGTGTTTAAAAAGGCAGACAATGGCTGTTTCCACATGGCTGTGGGTCCAAAAAATGTCCAGACCGACCGATTGACCTACCCAGAGAATCTGCTTTTTGTTGACAATGCCTTCTTCCTGTCAAAAGCACAAGGCGTGGTCCAGTCAAGCTGTGGCTGAACAGCTCCAATGGAATAACTCCCTCAGCGCAACAATTGCACCACTTCCAAGTGGCCATTCCGAGCTGCAAGCATCAAGGCTGTTGCCCCACCTGCCCGGGCCGCATTCTTGTCAGCTCCAGCCTCGAGCAACAACCGCACCACTT